CCAGTGAAGGAACATTTCATATATATTGATTAAAAATAAGAATTTGAAAGTTTTTCTTTAGATTGATTGGGAACAATAGCTTACTGCCAAACAATAGGAAGTCATCTAGCAATGTTTCGGATTACCTGGTCAAATATACTTTTCTGGAAAAGTTTTTGAATTTGTTATTATCTCTGCAACACGTTGTTTCTTTGAAAAAATTATAAGGTGAGTGATTGTATTTGTTTGAAGTGGAATTAATTGCATGTTATAGTTTTATTTTTCTCACTGTGAAAAAGAGAATTCAAAATATAGTTATTGAAGTTACGTTTTATTTTTTTAAAGCATCATAACTTAATAAAGTACTGAGATAAGGGGTGTTTATTCACTGGATCACCAAACGATAAAAAACCAGTGAAGGAACAAATGTTCCTTTACTGGTTTTTTTTTTTTCTAAGTTAATGAAAATAAAAGATAAACTTTAATTTTCTTGTACCTTTAGTGATGTTCTGCATCAAAAGTATGTTAAAAATACGAAAAACAACTTCTATCCAGTAAGGGAACAGGCATGTTCCTTTACTGGGCATAGATTTCCCAGTGAATGAACAGTATGTGTTAATATGTTGAAACTTTAATTTTCAATTCATGATTACAAAAAAAAGTTAACATTTTCCAAGTATTTATATGTTACAACTTCAAGAATAAGCTCTTTTTCAAATATTTGCATGGCTTATAAATTCATAAAGAGCATTAAAAAATAACCAAAATTAAGTGTTCCTTTACTGGGTGTTCATTCACTGGTAAGAGCTGTTCCTTCACTTGGTCTTCTTACTACTTGTTATTTGAACCTCCAAAACTTTAAAACAATATTATGTAAGTTCTCTACAATTTTTTTACATAATTTGCAATTAGTAACAAATATGTTGACACTGTCATTTAACTAAAATTACGAATTTTGAAATTAATATGATTTTTTAAAAGGCAAGCGAAGCTTAAGTGTTCCTTCACTGGTTAGTTTACCCTACAAAAGACAAAATTAACGTTATATTTTTATAACCGGCTGCAATTGTATAATCAACAATTTACGCTCTGATTCGCATGATTGCGCATCACGCTATTATTCTCTTTGAAGTACTCCCGAATCACAATCATATACAATAACACCTCAGACCTTAACCACTGAGCTGTAATCAGTGCACACTTTTACAACTGTAATCACATGGTAACTATTACAACTGTAATAACTTAGTAACTTTTACAACAATAATTATTGTTACAACTGTAATCACTTAATAACTGTTACAACTGTAATCACTTAATAACTGTTACAACTGTAATCACTGTTACAACTGTAATCGCATATACGATTACTAAAACAATCCATTGCAAGTCCGTTGAAGAAGCAAATAACCAGAAAACATATTGGCATATATCACCATTGAAAGTCAAACTATTCTATTTCAACATTGCTGAGAGAAAATTAGTTTAAACGAATTTTTTAGATTACATTATTTCAGCACTTCTCTCTCAATATAATTTAAGATTGTGAAGCAAATGAAAAAGAACCCAAATGGTTTAATGAGTTAACAAATTCTAGCACTTTGATTATAGAATTTATCTCGTTTTATCTCCAGATGAAAATTTCCATTTTTTTTTTCTCTCGCCAGGATTTAAAGCCCACAACACCCACCAGCGATGCGTAGAAGATCGTGATCTGCTGTTACGTCCGCTCTACCAGAATACTACCATCCCTCCTGTTATTCCGGAAGACGTGATAGCTCACCTTTTTGAGACTGTGCCCAATCTGCCCTACGACTTTCCAGAGTGTGACATCCAAAAAGAACTTCAAAAGGTAAATCTTCTTGTTCCTCTATTTCAGAAGTATCTTGCATGTTCGTAAAGTATTCTAGGTAAGAATGGAGCCTCACCATTTAGCAGTGGCTTCTTACTGTTATTTTTAAATAATTCTTTCGAAAAATTAAATAATATTCAAAAAAAAATCCCAGTATGAGTGTATTCAACTCGAATCAAAACTTTACTTTTAAACTATATGTACTCTCTTGCTAGAAATAATTGTCTTAGTTCTAAAAGAGCGCAAATAATTTAATA